TTTAAAGGTGGTCCATAACCTTTTTTTTCAAATAAGTATAACTGACGACAATGATCAGAATCTGTACAATATGTAGTACCTGAGAATTACCAGGCAATGCAATGAACCAATAATAATGAAAAAGTGACTGATTGCTATTCTAACTAAATGAGTATGTGTTAATGTGACATACGGAATGAAATATTTCATCTTCATTCCGTAAGCTTAATCTAATCGACTGATTTAGCTCTTTTGTAAAAACTTACAATTTGTAAAGTGAGTGTCATGTGGATATATGACAGTTTCTAATTCTAAGGGCAGAGTTCGTTGATCCCATGTTTTTTTAATTCATCCTTGTAACATGAAATGTCACATATGTAAAAATAAAGAAAATTACATTGTTACATTGGACCGACCAAAGGTCATTTACTCCATGTTCGTTTTCTAAAAAGGCACAAACGTCCATATTCCGTCAATAATCATTTGATATCACTTTCCTTCTAGTGATATACGTTATGTTAAATTTCAACGAATTCAGGCACTTGAAAGTTAGACATAAACAACGTTTTCTGCCGAGCTGGCAGCGTCAGGTGTCACTAGACCGCAAAATACCTCAGAGGTTTCTATTATAAATCACAATAAATTACACATTTTAATATAAGGTGAATTTTTTTTTCCATTGATTTGTATTTGATTATTAAAGTGCAAATTCAACCGCTCCACTAAAAGAACATTTCACAGCTATTGAACTATCAGTTCAATAGAAACAATATTAACTACGTGGGTGTTTTCCAATAAGAAAACTGAATTATTTATTATGTAAGAATTATCGCCAAGATTGGTCATGCCGCTATTGACACTAGTTGTATTCAAACATTTCAGCTAGTTTGTAGTTTTAGAGGGAACAATAACCCATTACAGACTTGACTCTTATATAATTTATGTAAAACTATCTTTAGAGTGGCATTTGAATCATTCCAGTTTAAAATCTGTGTCTGACATTCAGTGACCCCTACTCAGATCTCAGGGGCAATTTTCTAGAGAACATGTGAGATGGCCTCAGTTGACTTATTTTAAAAAAAAATATCACGAGATGTAGCCGAGATCATTTGTAAAATGGCTACATTGCTCCAAATAAATTTTTAGAGAATCTTCCATCGTAGTACCTATTAATTATTATGTTGATTAAGTTGTAAACAGATTTCTTTCTAACGATTCATACATGAAACATGTAATGCCTGACGAGGGGTAGGTAGAGAGGTGCGATATCTAGGCACAGATTTTGTCATAAATTGCGTACAAGCGCGTAGTCTCGGTAGAGACAATAACCCATTACACTCTTACATAATTTATGTGAAACTATATGCAGAGAACCGAAAAATAGCAAATGTCCATGTCTAGGGTTCCTAATCATTTTCAGGCTGTAATCGGTGTAGGACGTTTAGTATCTTCTATCATAATCAAAAATTCTCAGTGAACGGTGGTAAATAGTCTTAGTTTACTTATGCTTTGCATGGAAAACACTTCACAGCATGTGAATCGAGATCATTTAGAACATTTGTTATGAATTATGGCCATATTGCCTTTATCCATATCATCTGCTAATATTATTATGAGGGGTGAGAACGGACAATAGAAGGAGGGTAGTTAACGAATTGTTGTTTATTTTTACCGACTAATACATGAGGTAGGTTGGCTGCTGATACCACTATTCTAGTCCGCCCAAGTGTCGATCTAAGCATAAGTTTTTGATTAGACAATAACCTATTAGAAATTTCAATCTTACATAATTTATGTAAAACCATCTTCAGAAGTATGCAGAGAACTGAGGTAGCCAATTTCCATGTCCGGGGTTCAAGGTAATTTTCTGGTCGAAATCAGTGTCAGATAATTAGTACCTTCCACGCGGATCAACATAGTGTCATGATTTATATTTTCATGTATTTCGGTGAGGCCGCTTTTCGCAGTTATAACGACATTCCAATGGTGATCCCTGGATGATCCACACTTGCTCGTAACTTGTCATGACCAGGTTCATTCGCATGTTAGGGAATTAGTGATTGGAACATCTGGCTAATATAATGGTCGACTATGGAAGTTGGTTAAGTCAACGAGGCACCAATAAGTATGAGAGTTATGTCCCGACATTGGGGGCAATTAATCTGACATTATGGCGTGTTGAGTACTTTGCGTGATTGGCTATATGTGTGAAGGCCACGCCTTAGAGTCTTTTAAACTTCTCTGTAATTGGTTAACAGTTGGAATGTGAATAAAACCGATCTCAGTTAGTTGTAGCAAGCTCTCGACGAAGAAAAGTCTTGATACGGCCGTGGGAGAGTAACAACGCGGCTGAGACCAAAGGTGACACGATTCGATTCTCTGTGTGTCTTTGTTCGATAGAAAGGTGGAAAATTCCCCGAATTTGGTACCTCTGACGTGAAGGTTTAATAACACTCAATTAATCTTTCACAATAGTTCCAATGGACATGTTCTAAAAAAATATAACAAGATGAAAAAAAACTTTCAAAATTTGGAAAAAAGATATATATATATATAACATGTCTGATGATTAACCGCATGATATGTATCTTTGATGGACCTCTGTCAGATTTGTTTATGCCGTGACGATATCATTAAGATATTTTCGAGGAGGGTTGTACACGAATTGTTTCTTATTACTATCAATCTATACATACTATGTTTAACAAGGGTGGGTAGGGGGTGAATATAATCCGTCCGTACCATGCTCAAATTGCGTACCTAGCCTATTTTCCTAAACATAGTTCAATGTAAGGGCATGTACAAATATGATATCTTATTATCATCGGTTAACATAGATCATATTACAATTTTGATTTCGTAGCATGGCAAGCGCAGATAAATTATTTGTACTTTTTCCCGTAATCTGAATCCATACATCTAGATCAAGTATGGAAAAGTAACAAATTATCCATTAGCGCACAAATAAAATATAGTAATCAAATGTGCTGATCGCAAGTCGTACATACTGATGAAAGCATAGGACAATGCACGTAATTATTATACCGAATAAATAAATAAATAAACAAACAAACACATGCACAAACACATAATCTCTAATGATCCCTATTTAATTAAGTAATTAATTAATTAAGTAATTAATTAATAAATACATTAGAAATAAAAAAGATCATGCATTATGATATTTGTAACTTACATAAAACAGCAAAATTTGAAACACCAAATTTCCTAAAAAACTGATATGCTTGTTCAAACATGTTTGAGAAATTAAATAATGTAACGATTTTCTTTTGCAAAATTAGCAATTGTGTCAGTAATATTGTATCTTTTCTTTCGTAAGTGAACATTTTGCGCATTAGAACTTACCCAAGCGTAGATCTTTGTACAAATTATTACATTATTGTGACTAGTCGAGGCCCTGTTTTAATTTATGCAAAATTAATTATATATAGAAGAAAATGCGATGTTATGGTTTTCTGAATTAGGCTCCAGAATATGAATGACAAAAAATGATTATCATTGCTCAATAGGAAAGTCAAATATTTCTCAAAAAGTAAGCGAAACCAAATGTCTCTGCTCATCCATTTGCCCAAGCAAGAATTACGTCTGTAAACAAATTCGCAACGCCTGTGTGTGTTTTTACCAGCAACTGATATTGTTCACACACAAAATCTAGAAAGAGCATTTAAAAAATTGAAGTTAGAATTTACACTGCCACTCTAACATGATAAAATGCTAGTTCCAGAGCTAGTTGACATTTAATTTTACATTCCCGTCATTGGACGCTTTTATATTGTTGTCATCCTAAAAAAATACAGAAAATAACATAATAGTAGCAACTGTGAATAGAACATACAAATATTTAATGATGTATGCAAAAAATTTAATTGTCCATTGGTATAATTGTTTTTTTATTGTTTTGCCAGACGTGTGCCAATGTTGATGATAATGCAATGCCAAGTACACTAACAATCGATGATAGTCAAGAACACAATTGGCGTCAACGATCGCTATGTATGTTGCTACATTGTGCACTGGAGTTTATGTCTGGATCAAACTTATCATTGCAGTTCACAGCATTGACAATTATCAACAAGGTTATTCAATGTGATGTTTCGTATCGGCGGCATCAGAAATCCAATGAATGTTCAAATAATTCGGATAGACCTTGTGTGAACTCTTGCAAATCTGCTGAATACCAGGAATGTGGCAATACCCTCTTCTGTGAACAAATATTTCGACCAGAACTAATGTTTACTCCTACAAGCCTGATGATTACAAGGAATGTAGCAATGCCTCCTTCTGCAATAAGATCGCCTAAGTATGTGTTCCGGTCGAAGACTTTCTCAGGGGCTAATATTAATACAGACCGCCAGAAGGAAGTATCAGTGAGGACCCCTTTGATTCCACGAGATAGAGATGACATATCTATTGGAAAGAAAAATGGTGCTAGGAAACTATTTTTGTCATCTCGATGGTTGGAAGCCCGGCATTCTTCATCTGGAATACGGGCATCCTTTAGAAGGAAACGAAAAATAATGTCAATGGCAGATAGTAAAAGTACGGAAAGTATTAATTCGTATTGTGGAGTAACGCCAATACAGACTCTCGAAAGATGCGATCCTTCAATTTTTATTCATATTTTACATAGTACAACTGTACCACAGGGAGGTGCCGTTGCACCACACAATCATCGAAACCAGGACACCGTTGAGTTAACCGAGTGTCCCTTCAACACCATACAGTTACTGTGTGGTAGGGCATTAGCACTAGCCGCCGTGCATGGAAAAATACAGCAACAGCTTATAACAAAAGGACATTTAAGAAGGTTGCTGGACATAATCACAGTCACAACTAATCAAGTAAGTATTGTAATAAAAAGGCGAAAATAACATACCCTACCATAGATCCTTAAACAAATGTGATAATCAATAAAATGTGTAATGGATGTGTAAAGAACAAGATGAAAATACAGCCACCTTTGGGGGATTAGCTTACAAATGCCAAGGCGATTCATATCGTCAAAGTGACCATTTTTTTATTATCTTGTTTAGCGGGGGAAGACATGGACGCGAGATACTGATATCTTGTAATAAATGGGCACTTGAGGTAGCAACAGGGATAACAGGGGTTAACAATTGATCTGTGCTTCGATCATTCTCTAAATGTTATTAGTCATGCTTACTATTGAATCTATACTTAAATGTTTCTTAATACAGTAGTTTATAAGACTATTCTGACTATTCCTAGTATTGAAATCGCCGTGTTTTTTTACAATTTTCATTCATGCGAATAACTTGTGTCTAGTAGTCAGTTTTGGCTTCAAAATTATTAATCAATGCATCCTGGAAACCGTAGATATATTGATGGTTTCAAGAATTCCTTCCTTTATTGCATGATGCGAATGAAGCTCATTACAGTACGATTCGTGTTTTAGTTGTTCGAATATGAAGTCTGTGAAACAGATATATGGCATAAAAATGATATTATATTCGAGACCTTGCAATATCAGATTTGTTAAGCGAGGTTCACTCTATTCAATGGTATAACTATTTAAATTTGCAATATGGACGCGTGTATGCAATTTTTTAGTATCTGTTTAACACTGTACATTGATAGATACATTAGACTATGATTTATTATTAACTCTTGTTCGTGTAGAACATATCTGAGTATTCGTTCAATGAATCAATGGAATTCTGTATTACGCATGAGAAATATTTGTTTGGTATGTACAGTGGTTTCGATTATTCACCTACGAATATTGTTGGGAGTTTTTCAAGAGCAACATGTTTAGTTTGTGGCAAATCATGGTCAGATTTACTCCACAGTATAGAGTGTTGAATAACAAAATTAAAAAAATACATGTTTTTTATTCATATTGCACTTTTAATTTGCATAATATATAAATACCTGTAATTGTAACAATTATGCGAAAATTACTAAATTCGTTGCCAATGGTGAACAAGTACATCGACCACCGTAAGAGGCGTTGCAACTATTAAACTATTGACAAGTAAATTAATGATACGGCCGTGACAGTTATTGAGTAGTTGGACTACCATATTACAAGAAACTCCTTGAAAAGGTATTGAAGTGGTAATAACAATTACCTGGAACAGTTCAACCAATTTACTACAATATATCACGTAAATGTATAGGTCACGTGATTGTTCGCCTCAGTCTTTCTACCAGGGGGAGTCGAACAATATTAAAGTTTACGCACACACAAAATAAAACTCACAAGAGTAAACTATTAACAAGTAAAAATCTCTTAAGGTTAATCTTGAAAGACAAATTAGAGTTTAATGCTTGGTTGTGTACACTATTTCTCTTAAAGCAGAACCTGTTACTCTATTGTGAATATTATTTACCACGTTGTGACATGAGCAACTGTCATCCGTATACATATGAAAATCATTATCCCCCAACCTGCATACCATTAATGAAAAGGAGAAAGAATAGGATTGACTCCCCCGAGGAACATCAATTTAACTCTTCTCATATGAACTTGAACTATCACAAACATTCGCTCGTTGATTCCTACAATCTAAATAAGCTCGAAAACAGTTAAAGGAACAAATGTCACATTTATAAATAGAATGTTTAGATAAAATCAGCTAATGATCAACAAGATCAAATGTTGCACCCAGGAGATTCCCTTTGTCTATGTTATTGTAGCAGGAATCGATCAAGTTAAGCAAGACCGCCTGACATGAATGAAATTTCCGAAATCCAGACTTATTTTACTCTGTAGAAATGCATAGAAATTAGAATATACATGCTTTTCAACTGCTTTAGACAAAAAATGGTAAAATGGATACAGGTTTATAATTGGATACAATGTGTTCATGATCTTTCCTAAATAAACACACAAACAAATATTTGTGAATCTAAATATTCAAAAGCCCCCCAAAATCGTTAACCACGATTTAATTTACAGCACATACATTAACCTTATCGACACAATTTTGATGTCCTGAAATGTGTAATAAACATTTTTTTAGTGTAATTTAATCAAGCTCAGTGAATCGTGTCAGAGTACAACTTTAAACGGCATTAGTGTATCTTGCCATCGAACACCATTTGCACATAATACAGATTTGGGAAAGTAGGGGTTTGGTTTGTGGTAGGATAGACGTCCGCATATTTCAAAAGTTTTGGTTAAGTTTTGAAATGGTTTAGGATTTGACACATTGGTAAAATACAAACCAATCTATGGAAATATAATACAAATTTGAGAGAGTAGTAAAATAAGAGTTGTATTCAAAATGGCGACGTATGCCTCGTCTACACCAACGCCATTCAAACATTTACTAAAC